CAATGAAAAGAGTCGATCATCCAGCTGGATAACCTTTAACATCTTCACGCTAACTGACACAGCAAGTTATGAGTTTATGTTTATGTTTATGTTTATGTTTATGTTTCGGTACGATACGAAATTAAGTGATTTGATGTTTTATTGAACGACACGCAGTTACACAAATCGTAATGTAAGAAGCAATGTAAGTAATGTAATGTAATGTAAGTATTTCATACTTTTTGTAAGGAAAATATTAAGTTGTAAGTAATAAAAGTATTTGACACGTTCTGCTCTTCATAAAAGGAGCCGTTATCAATTTTCAGTATAGGTTTAGCAGTGTGTTTATTCTGGGTGTTAAAAAACTAATAAATAGTTAGAAAAACTAACAAAAATCAATCAAGTCAGCTTTTTGATCTAAGCAGGGACACAAGAGATTTTACTGATGATCCAACACATGCGGAAAAAGAACCAGGAAACTAGATAAAACTTACAGTTAATGTTAGAGGGTGTCAATGGGGTGATGGCATTTACGGCTTACGGTTTAAATTTTGGCCTAACAACAATTACGGCTAACAATTAATATCTTTCAATTTTTTTCACTAGAGAAAATTTTGCGATTAACTTTTTCTACGACTAGCAGTTAAAATTTGTTGATTTTTTGCCCAATAATACAATTCTTTAGCCATTTTACGGTAAACGGTTAACCCCATTGAGACCGTCGCATAGGGCCCATGGGATAAATTTTGGTGTAATAAAAATCAAAACAGCAAGATTCCAAGAAACATTGGCCTTCAAGAGCGACTGCAAAGAGAACTAACAAGTATCCTCATTTAGCCTCATGGTACCACAAGCGACTTAAGCGTCCTATATGCAATCTCGGGGTTTCATAGTTTTAACAGAAATCGAATACCTCATATGCCGAAAGTGTGTATTATCATATAAATTACGGTGTCATACAAGGATTTCCAGCCCTGAGAAAAGCCGTAACAACACACGTGAAAAAATACGATATTTTTTCACGTGTGTTTGATATCGTCAATCAGCTGCTGACACGTCACTCCCCTTTGGCGCCACTCGGTCAGGTTGATGAATGAACGGTGAAGCAGCCTTCACGATTCATAATACAAGATAGTTCGTCGGAATTTTTTCCGATTACGGCAGCTAAAACACTGAAAAATCCGTATCGCTCACAGACAGTGACGTTCAAACTTTCTTAGAAGGGGAAGAAAACTATTAAACGAAAAGAAAAACCGAAAGTTACGTATTCGAAAGTTACGTATTCTCGCAGCTGAGAACGAAAATCGACACCTGGAAGATTTGCCACTGGCCATGGCCGATTTTGACTGTTTACCTGAAAGACTTTTTCTGTCCGTAAGGACAAAGTCAATAAATGAGAATTTTGAACATTTACAATAACGCTCATTGTAGTTTTCATAATCATGATTCAACGCACATTTCCATCTTCAGATGGAAACGATTGTTATTCGGGGACTGTCTGACTGGGGTTATTATTGTTAACGATTGTTATTCGGGGACTGTCGATTCATTTATTTTCACATGACGAGTTTTGCGTCGGAAAAAAATTTTATGCAAATTAGCTGGCTGCACATTGAATGTGCAACCAGCCAATTTGCATAAGTAATTCAAGCCAAGGTTCGACGCCTCTTGGTGGCATGAGGTGTTCGCTAAACATTCCAGGACATCCGATAATCGCTTCAAAAAATGTAATTATGCTCCCCTCGAATGAAATGGAAAAAACCGCAACTTCCGATGATTACAATTCTAATCATTTTCAAGATGCAACTCTACTTTGTTCACTCATTTTCCAGAAACAAGAGTCCAGAGAAATGTCTCAAACAAACTCAACGGGTCTAATTCGAAAAAACTTAAAGGGAGGTACCCTAAGCTTATTTTCTCTGTAGAGACAACACATATCTTAAAGAAGACAACAGTAAATCGTTAACACAAGGTCCACGAATATTCCTGACCAAATGTTACAGAAACATATAAAAGGAACAATTTAAAACACGTAAAACGAAGAAACTCAAAAATAGCCTAAAAAGCGGCACCGGTAAAGCTGATTTCACCTCCATGATCGAGGACCTAGGCCTACCTAAGGTTAACTCCGACAAACCCTTCTTTATACAGGTCATGGTTTTTAACTTTTAAAGTCCAGAAACTGTGTTGATTAGATAATCCAGAGTATACACATCGTTTCCAACTGATGGTCTCCTCGTTCGGTCTTCAAGCTTCGGCGCAATGCAATTATTCTTATAATGACTTTCTATTTGCGAAGGTTTCAGTTTGGAACGGCATTTTTAGCTTTTCCGAAGACATCAGTCTTGTCAAAATCAACTATAACAGGGGAGAAGCTGGTCTAAAACATCGTTATTGCATTTTAGGTCATTGGGAACAAATTCACACGTATGAATATCGTCTTACGCGACTGCCGAGTTAGGAGGGATAAGAAAAGGTTAAAAAATAACCCTCAGGTATACACAACCCAAGAAGGTATAGGAGAGATTAAGAATAACCCTCAGGTATACACTACCCAAGAGGGTATGCAAGAGATTAAAAATAACCCTCAGGTATACACAACCCAAGAGGGTATAGGAGAGATTAAGAATAACCCTCTGGTATACACTACCCAAGAGGGTATGCAAGAGATTAAAAATATCCCTCAGTTAACCTATTAGCTGGGCTACATGGGGTAGAATATATGAACACAATACATGGTGCATCAGATACTATAGAATTTCTTCGCTTCTTCGGTGAAGCAGGAAGTGCAGCCAACATAGAAACTGCAAGACCCGCGCTTGAAGTAGGGGACATTGTTGTGATGGATAACTGCGCTACTCACCATTTTGCTGGCGGGTAAACATTACAAGAATGGTTAAATGAGAGAAACATTGAGCTTGTCTACACACCAACTTATTCTCCGGATTTTAATCCTGCAGAGTTCGTTTTTAACAAAATGAGAAGCGTGATGCGTTATCATCCTTGGGATCTAACAAATGAAAGCATTGAACTTGCTGCTTATAAAGCTGTAGACCACATAACATCACATGATATGGCGAATTTTTTTAGACATACGTCCTACATTAATACTCAGCAAGAGAAAATAAAGTGTTTCTCTGTTTCCGCAGAGTTGTTAGCTCCATATGCTGTATAAACTATAAATATTCTGGTGAATTCTGTTTGTCAACCCTTGTCAAACACGAGTGTATGACTGATTAAAAGCCTTCTATAATTTCAGTGTTCGCTTTAGTTGCATGCATTGCATTTGTGTAATAATATATTGACACATTTATCTTACAACAACAACGACAACTTTATTAAAGGGTTTAAATTAAATGGATGCAGAATATATACTCAAAAACTCAACAATTTGTGCACACACTCGCACACACATACTGACGCCAGTCATTATTCCTTGCTAAATCAATAATTGCCTCAAAAAATAGGCCAAACATCTGATAAAGAAGTGGCTACTTCTTTACAGTCTTCATATAGTACATCTAACTTCAGTGTTGGCGAAAAGAACGTATTGCTAAAAATAGAAACCTGTCCACGCGTGAGAAAAGTTTTTTTTGAACGGGTTTCCATTATTTTTCACAGTAAACGGTTTTCGGTGCAAATAAAACTTGAACTATTGAAACTTTTGTTACACATAAAACCACAAATATCATGCAACTTTCACAACTGGATCGAAAAGTGTAAAATAAGATCTACGATCTATTGCGTAAATGTAAACATGAAACATATGTAAACATGTCAATTGTCAATGCGTGTTCTCTGGTATGTTATTTCTTTGAAGTTGTACGAGAGCATTCGCCGCTTCTTCTTCTCTCTGAGCTGATGCTTCAGGCTCAGACGTAGGTGCTTTCCAGCCCTGGCCGGGTACAAACATGCCACAATAGTTACTTTCTTCATTTCCAGCACGGGAGGTTACACAATCCGCTGTCGATCCACCGCACAATGTTTGGTTGTTTAATTCGGCTTGCAGACGAACTGCCATTCTAAAATCACTTTCTTCTTCTTCTGAGAGAAACGGTGTGCCGGAAAAAGTAAAAGACGAACTTGCAGTTGATGGACTATTTCGAGGAACTGCCATTCTAAAATCACTTTCTTCTTCTGCTGACAACAATGATGAACCGGGAAAGGAAGAAGACGAACACGCTCTTGCAGTTGATGGACTACGTCTAGGAAATCTAATGGCATATTCGTCATCTAAAATGTGCTTTTTCGGGTTTACAAATCTTTCTTTAGCGGCAGTCGCTGTGATTTTAATTCATGTTCTTCAACCGCTACTTTTAACAAATTCACTACATTATGTCTTGGAGGCAGTTTTCGCCGTTGCATCTTTTCTGAAGTAACGCAACATGTTTATTGAGAAGCGACCAGTTTTTTACCCCATTAACAATATATCTATCTGGATTAGAGGCGACAATATCAGCCTCAATTTTTCTAGCAAACGAATCTTCAACTGTTTTGTAAGCGCTAAGTTTGCTGTTGTAGTCGCTTTGGAGATTTGCTAATTCAGTCTCGCATTTAGTCACTTGCTGTGATAGATTTCGTCTTACAGCTTTGTCATTAGGATGCTTGTCAATGATTCCACACAGCATGGCGGATGTACATTCAGCTTCATCACAGTTTCTTCTGGTGTGTCCCACCTTGAAGTGACATTTCCCACAGATAGAAAGAGAACCGGAATTATGAAACGCTGCTCTAGATAACTCCCTTTCAAAGTTGTCCTTTTGGACTTTCGCATGTTCTAAAGCCTTAGTTGCGCCTTCAACGCCTGCACGTTTTTCATTACCAGCAATCCGAGACATTTTACTCCCGCGGTCCGCGAGGTCAGTAGTTTCTTCAGGTTCTACTGTTCATGCGCTATGGCGTCAGATTTCATGTAAACATGGAGCGAAGTAGATTTCCGCGGAGGAATCGAGTTGATTATAAAGCACTAAATGTTCTTTCTACAGTGGATTTAGAAGTTCATTTGAAAGGAAGGAGAAAAT